AGAAGAAGAAGAAGAAGAAGAAGAAGAAGAAGAAGAAGAAGAAGAAGAAGAAGAAGAAGAAGAAGAAGAAAAGCATTCTTTGACTTTACCTGAAAAAAAAACAACCCCTGCTTTTCTTGAGGCTGCAGAAAATGAATTCCTCCTCTCGTTCTGCAAGCGAAGTCGTTCTCTTGCCTGCAGCTCTCACTTGGAGAAGACCACACAGCTCCAGCAAGGCAGCCGTCCCGCTCCTAATCCCCACTCGAATGTGATGACACACACTAACCCCAACCATCTGGTGAAACGCGTCCTCAAGCACTCAGCACAGTGGTGTGTCAAGACGGGCTGCCCAATCCAATTGCTGGGGCTGGGTGACTCTCACCGACGGGAGGCTGAGGGCAGGGCTGAAACTGGAGGTCTGAGAACTCCCGGTCAAGTAACCTGAGATTTTCAGAGAGAAAGGGCTGCTATGAAAAGAAGAGAAGTGGGAGGTGCTACAGAGAAGGTGGAGGGAATGAATTCTCCTGGTGGCCAGTTGTGCGTTACTTTTCACAACTCCTTGTGCTCCCCTGGGACGTTCGGGACCCTCCGTAGAATGCACAGAGAGACGCTAAACATCTTTTCCTGCCAACCTCGTGAGCGCAGCCTTCTCAGCGAGACACTCCCTTCCCCTTCTTCCTACGCCCTCCCCCAGCTAAGATTCATCTTGACATACTGATAAAGTGCTAATGTAGGAGTAGTTTGCACTGAAATGTGACATCTACATTTTGAAATCTAAACTCCTACCTTCCTTTGATTAGATCGTGGCTGCCTCCAACATTCCTGGGAGGAAGGGGGTGGGGGCGCAGCTAAGAGCAGAAACTTCTCTATTCCCACACACAGCTCTTCGCCGTTTGCCACCGGCTGAACTTCCAGAAATCGTCAATGAAAATCATTTTAGTTTCTACGCGTGTAAAATAGCACGCACGCCCATAGATAAAGGTGGCTTTTTAAATCTCTTGCTGCTTTCACAGACATCTCTTTGTAAAAGCACTTGGTACCAGAGGGCTGCACTCTGTCATTGATTATTTTTATTGGCTTCTAGTTAATTGCACTTATAATGTCCATATCGCTCAAACAGCTCATTAACAATTTTGCTTTGAAATGTTTTCAATTTGGGGTCATTTCAGTACCTTCTTATGTCTCTCTCTCTCTCTCTCTCTCTCTCTCTCTCTCTCTCTCTCTCTCTCTCTCTCTCTCNTTCTCTTTCTTTCTTTCTTTCTTTCTTTCTTTCTTTCTTTCTTTCTTTCTTTCTTTCTTTCTTTCTTTCTTTCTTTCTTTCTTTCTTTCTTTCTTCTTTCTTTCTTTCTTTCTTTCTTTCTTCTTTCTTTCTTTCTTTCTTTCTTTCTTTCTTTCTTTCTTTCTTCTTTCTTTCTGTTTTGAGTTCTCTGGACTAATTTATATAACTAATTAATAGCAGACTGAACTAGAAAATGGCTATACTAGTTACACTACTTTAAGGAGATATCTGAAAATAAGCTAACTGCTACAAATCTTACTATTTAAAAAATTTGATCAGACTTCTAAGGAATTTTGATAATCTGAAAGAGAATATAGGAATTTGAAATATTATCAACTCCCTGACAGTGTCCGTGGGAAGCCAGTATTTAAAATTTTGAAATTCTTTGAACTGGGAAGGGAATCACTGTAATAAAAACAAAACAAAACAAAAACTTTAAACCTGCCTAAAGTATTAAAAATCTAGACTATAAATAGATAGATATCTAATACTCAGAGTGCTAGTATCACAAAAAGAATTAAGTCAGTATCTAGCAAAACTGATTTGACAAGCATGTTTTTTTTTTCTTCAGGAATTTTTGTGTGATATTATATTAAGATACTTAAAAATAACTTCTGGTACAATGGTACAATTTTCTGAAGCACAAGATTAGAGAACCATAATTTTCAGGCAGTGAATTTTTCCTATAACAGGGGTGTAGGGAAGAAGGAAGAAAGAAAATAAAAAGAATTAGAGGCCGGAGTTCTGACAAGTTCGTTCAATTTCTTCCCAGAAGTGATTATGAGGTGTTTGTTTCACAATATGTAGTATATTTACCAAACCACTATTCCTAATCAGCTAAATCCAGATACATAACCAACACAGAAACATTCAACAATGACAAGAGGCACCACAGGGCTAAAACCTCCCTTGGGCACCATAAATATTTTAATAGTGCCAATTATTGCAATGCAATTTTTTTTTCATTTAAATTTTGTTTGTTTGTTTGTTTAATCCAACCAGACTCATGCCTGGAAATCTGAATTACCTCAGCTGCATAGATTTTGAAGACCCTGGAGACATTATTAAGGTAGTTTGCATTCTCTTAAACTGTAAATTGAGTTACAAAAGTAAAACCTAAGAAACTGTGAAGGTGTTGAATCGTGTTTTGTCAACCATGTGCTTGTAACACACCTTCTAGGAGACATTTCCCAAGTGGTCTGTGGCTCTGACCCATGTTATTGTTGAAAGTGCTTTTTAACACACTTTCCTTCTAAATTAATTGCAAGTCTTTTCATTAACTCTCAGTCACCACTTCTCTTTTATTGATAACTTCAGCTATTTATTCTATGTAAAACTTGGTTTAAAAAAGTACACGTATGAGCAATAGATCCTGCCTATGTGCTACGATCTTAATTCTTGCTCTGTGCAGTGTCTGTAAACATTACCTTTCAAACGTATTGTAAAATGAGTCCACCACGACTTTTTTTTTTTTTTTTGGTTGATGTTCTGAAATGCTTTTGTTAGGGAAAATCAGCTCAAACAGAAACCTGAAGCTGGTGCTATAGGATAAGGTCCCAGCTCTCTTTCCCTGTAGCCAGCTTCAGGGCTCAGCAGTGTCAATTTAGAAGTTAAGAATTTTCCATTACCTCCCTTCCTTTCTCCTTGCCATCTGCAAACAGTTTATTTTTTAAGGGGGGGGGTGAAATTGATTCTGTCTTGAAAGATCTAAACCTAAAACACAGCGCATTCTAAAAGATGAAGTTCAGCGTTTGAACGTAATGTTGGTTGATCGTGGGAGGGCGTGTGCGGAGGGAACAGCTTCATCATAGAAATTAAGTAAGGACGCTCCTGAAATGAAATATTAATTGTACAGTAGGTAACGGCGATCTTGAAAAATAGCCCCTCCTAGTCTGTTCCCACAGTTAAAACATCCCTTTACTTATTGGCGCCAATTAGTTTCCATGGTAACCGACCAGCCCTTGTAAACCCCGCACTCTGAGCTTCACTCATCTTTGTCTAGACTGAGCTCACCACCGTTCTTCCTCCACAGAAGGCGGTGTAGCTGGGTCTCTATCTATATCCACGTCTTTTGCGCCCATACAACCGGCACAGAAGTGCCCACATGCATTTATCACTAGTGCCGTGTGGCCAAGGGAGCACGCAGGTGGCATTGAATCCGCCACCTGGAACACGTGCGTCTGCTGCCACACTACCCTCCCGGACCACCTTGTGGTTTCTTGCAGCTTTGGTTCTATTATCAGCTGTGGGCTGCTCCTGATTTCTTTTCAGGGAAGTGAGTACAGTATAATAACAACGTCATTAAACAGACACACCTATCAGCCTCGGAGAAAGCCCCAAACTGCCCTTTTTTGTTTAAAGAATCATTACAGTGAAAAAGAAAAACCACTTGTTTGTCATGCTTGAAAAAAAGAGAACAAAGCCAACATAAAGGTGGACCAAACCAGGGGGCTAATATGAAGATTTAACGCGCCTAAGACACCAGGGTTCCCCTCGTGGGGCCAGTTGGCCAAGAATCCCAAGTTAGTGCAGTAAGAAATGATCAGTGAGGCTTGGGAGCGCTCAATCCATGACTGGGTGCGGAGGGAGATAATGGGCCCTGCGCCTTCCTGGCTGTCACAGGCTGTCTCGCGTGCCCTGGGGCTGCTGGCAGGTGATGCTGCCGGCCCGGAAGTGAGTGTGACTAGAGAAGAATCTGCTGTGGAGTGGGGGAGGACCCTCAGCAAATGGTTGAAATTGGGAAAACTCAGCAAGCCATGGGCTCTCATAATTTGTGCTGACTTTACTTTGGGCTCAATTTTATTTATTTATTTATTAAAAAAAATTTTTTTTTAAATTTTATTGGGGAACAGTGTGTTTTTCCAGGACCCATCAGCTCCAAAGTCAAGTCGCTGTTTTCAACCTAGTTGCGGGGAGGCACAGCCCACCATCCCATGTGGGAGACAAGCTGGCAACCTTGTTGTTCAGAGCACACGTTCTAATCCACCGAGCCATCTGGCTGCCCACCAGCAGCTATGCTCAAGCCATTGTCTTCAATCTAGTTGCAGAGAGCGCAGCTCACTGGCCCACATGGGAATCGAACTGGCAACTTGTTGTTCAGAGCACACACTCTAACCAACTGAGCCACCTGGCCGCCCCAAGACCCAACTCAATTTTAATTCAGTGTTATTTTGAGGTAAACCATCCCTTACTTACAAGAATTAAGACGGTGCCAACCTTTTTTGTGATGCCCGTGTTTCTTCTTGGTTAAGAGTCAGTCAAAATGTTTGCTTTAGATTTCTCCTTTTTATATTACCTCTATTACCATTATTGGCCCGGCACCTGTTTTGACATACAAATAATGACAGAGAATAAGATTCCCCAATTCCAGTGAAATGATTTCTTCCTAAAATTGTTTCTGTGCTTGGGCCTGAGGTTGTCTGTGATCTAAGTATTATTAGTCAAAAGAAAGCTCTGATCACCAATGCTTTATCCGATAGGATGTGGGAATCTGCGAAGCTCATTACACAGATGAATTCTTTGATGGTAATATTCCCTTAGATTCTTTTTCCTTTCAAACAAGTGACAACTGTCATCATAAGTCCCACGATGCTAGAAATATCTTAACAATTAGTCCATTGCTATTCATATCATATAAAGTATCTGTAGAAGAACAATAAATCTTGTCATTTGGAACATCCGGCACTTCTAAATTACTCAGGGCTACACAGCTTCAGCCATTTACTTATTCTCTTTCAACTAAACTTTACTGCTTTTATTCACATTGAACCAAATCCTTCTCAGAAAGAGAGGGGGAAATTATTGCTTGTTAAATGAAGTCGCATTCTATGCAACAAGAATTAGACTTGCTCATGTTTTCAATGACTTCATGGGGGGGCGGGTGACACTGGGGCCAGTGGTGGCTTTCATATTAGATAAATGGTTTTATCACTGAAGTTATGTTCTCTCCAGGAAGCATAAGTCTAAGAATGCTGAAAAAGCATGTATAACTGCACTGTCAATAATTTTAGGAGGATGAGGTAAGGCGCTAAACCACTTAGGACGAAACAGTGACCCATAAATAGGATAACTTAATGAAAGATACTAGATTTGATAGAATATGGCAAAAAGATAGTAAAAACATTTAAAATATATATATTTTAAATACTTATTTGTGAAAATCAGTGTTTGAGGCACTGGGTATGTGACATAATATTAGAAAGTACGATAGCAAGTAAGAAAAAAATGTGAATTTCAGCAATTAGAACTTGATGTTTTATTGGATCTACCTGAAAGTAAGCTTGGGG